ATTGAAAACTCTCTCTATAATTTTAAACTCTCTTTATACATTTGAATGTCAAAAAATCAATTTAATTATTCATCTCTCACTATACATTGAATTAAAGACCCTCTCTATACATTGAAGACTCTCTCTATACATTGAAGATCTCATTATACATTTGAATGTCAAAAAATCAATTTAATTATTCATCTCTCACTATACATTGAATTAAAGACCCTCTCTATACATTGAAGACTCTTTCTATACATTGAAGACTTTCTCTATATATTGAAAACTCTCTCTATACATTGAAAACTCTCTCTATACATTGAAGACTCTCTTTATACATTTGAATGTCAAAAAATCGATTTAATTATTCATCTCTCACTATACAATGAATTAAAGACCCTCTCTATACATTGAAGACTCTCTCTATACATTGAAGACTTTCTCTATATATTGAAAACTCTCTATATACATTGAAAACTCTCTCTATACATTGAAGACTCTCTTTATACATTTGAATGTCAAAAAATCAATTTAATTATTCAACTCTCACTATACATTGAATTAAAGACCCTCTCTATACATTGAAGATCTCATTATACATTTGAATGTCAAAAAATCGATTTAATTATTCATCTCTCACTATACATTGAATTAAAGACTCTCTCTATACATTGAAAACTCTCTCTATACATTGAAGAATCTCTTTATACATTTGAATGTCAAAAAATCAATTTAATTATTCAACTCTCACTATACATTGAATTAAAGACCCTCTCTATACATTGAAGACTCTCTATACATTGAAGACTCTCTCTATACATTGAAAACTCTCTCTAGAATTTTAAACTCTCTTTATACATTTGAATGTCAAAAAACCAATTTAATTATTCAACTCTCACTATACATTGAATTAAAGACCCTCTCTATACATTGAAGACTCAATACATTGAAGACTCTCTCTATACATTGAAAATTCTCTCTATAATTTTAAACTCTCTTTATACATTTGAATGTCAAAAAATCAATTTAATTATTCAACTCTCACTATACATTGAATTAAAGACACTATACATTGAATCTCGTTTTCAATGTATAGAGAGATTCAAAACTATACATTGAATCTCTCTATACATTGAAAACTCTCTCTATACATTGAAGACTCTCTTTATACATTTGATTGTCAAAAAATCAATTTAATTATTCAACTCTCACTATACATTGAATTAAAGACCCTCTCTATACATTGAAGATCTCATTATACATTTGAATGTCAAAAATCGATTTAATTATTCATCTCTCACTATACATTGAATTAAAGACTCTCTCTATACATTGAAAACTCTCTCTATACATTGAAGACTCTCTTTATACATTTGAATGTCAAAAAATCAATTTAATTATTCAACTCTCACTATACATTGAATTAAAGACCCTCTCTATACATTGAAGACTCTATACATTGAAGACTCTCTCTATACATTGAAAACTCTCTCTATAATTTTAAACTCTCTTTATACATTTGAATGTCAAAAAATCAATTTAATTATTCATCTCTCACTATACATTGAATTAAAGACCCTCTCTATACATTGAAGACTCTCTCTATACATTGAAGATCTCATTATACATTTGAATGTCAAAAAATCAATTTAATTATTCATCTCTCACTATACATTGAATTAAAGACCCTCTCTATACATTGAAGACTCTTTCTATACATTGAAGACTTTCTCTATATATTGAAAACTCTCTCTATACATTGAAAACTCTCTCTATACATTGAAGACTCTCTTTATACATTTGAATGTCAAAAAATCGATTTAATTATTCATCTCTCACTATACAATGAATTAAAGACCCTCTCTATACATTGAAGACTCTCTCTATACATTGAAGACTTTCTCTATATATTGAAAACTCTCTATATACATTGAAAACTCTCTCTATACATTGAAGACTCTCTTTATACATTTGAATGTCAAAAAATCAATTTAATTATTCAACTCTCACTATACATTGAATTAAAGACCCTCTCTTTACATTGAAGACTCTATACATTGAAGACTCTCTCTATACATTGAAAACTCTCTCTATAATTTTAAACTCTCTTTATACATTTGAATGTCAAAAAATCAATTTAATTATTCAACTCTCACTATACATTGAATTAAAGACCCTCTCTATACATTGAAGACTCTCTATACATTGAAGACTCTCTCTATACATTGAAAACTCTCTCTATAATTTTAAACTCTCTTTATACATTTGAATGTCAAAAAATCAATTTAATTATTCAACTCTCACTATACATTGAATCAAAGACAGTATACATTGAATCTCGTTTTCAATATAGAGAGATTCAAAACTATACATTGAATCTCTCTATACATTGAAAACTCTCTCTATACATTGAAGACTCTCTTTATACATTTGAATGTCAAAAAATCAATTTAATTATTCAACTCTCACTATACATTGAATTAAAGACCCTCTCTATACATTGAAGATCTCATTATACATTTGAATGTCAAAAAATCGATTTAATTATTCATCTCTCACTATACATTGAATTAAAGACTCTTTCTATACATTGAAAACTCTCTCTATACATTGAAGACTCTCTTTATACATTTGAATGTCAAAAAATCAATTTAATTATTCAACTCTCACTATACATTGAATTAAAGACCCTCTCTATACATTGAAGACTCTATACATTGAAGACTCTCTCTATACATTGAAAACTCTCTCTATAATTTTAAACTCTCTTTATACATTTGAATGTCAAAAAATCAATTTAATTATTCATCTCTCACTATACATTGAATTAAAGACCCTCTCTATATATTGACTCTCTATACATTGAAGACTTTCTCTATATATTGAAAACTCTCTCTATACATTGAAAACTCTCTCTATACATTGAAGATCTCATTATACATTTGAATGTCAAAAAATCAATTTAATTATTCATCTCTCACTATACATTGAATTAAAGACCCTCTCTATACATTGACTCTCTATACATTGAAGACTTTCTCTATATATTGAAAACTCTCTCTATACATTGAAAACTCTCTCTATACATTGAAGCTTTCTTTATACATTTGAATGTCAAAAAATCAATTTAATTATTCAACTCTCACTATACATTGAATTAAAGACCCTCTCTATACATTGAAGACTCTCTATACATTGAAGACTCTCTCTATACATTGAAAACTCTCTCTATAATTTTAAACTCTCTTTATACATTTGAATGTCAAAAAACCAATTTAATTATTCAACTCTCACTATACATTGAATTAAAGACCCTCTCTATACATTGAAGACTTTCTATACATTGAAGACTCTCTCTATACATTGAAAACTCTCTCTATAATTTTAAACTCTCTTTATACATTTGAATGTCAAAAAACCAATTTAATTATTCAACTCTCACTATACATTGAATTAAAGACCCTCTCTATACATTGAAGACTCTCTATACATTGAAGACTCTCTCTATACATTGAAAACTCTCTCTAGAATTTTAAACTCTCTTTATACATTTGAATGTCAAAAAACCAATTTAATTATTCAACTCTCACTATACATTGAATTAAAGACCCTCTCTATACATTGAAGACTCTCTATACATTGAAGACTCTCTCTATACATTGAAAACTCTCTCTATAATTTTAAACTCTCTTTATACATTTGAATGTCAAAAAATCAATTTAATTATTCAACTCTCACTATACATTGAATTAAAGACACTCTCTATACATTGAATTGTTTTTGGCATTGTTTTTTTCAAAGCAAAACAAGGCCCTCTCTATACATTGAAGACTCTCTCTATACATTGAAAACCCTCTCTATACATTTTTACATTGCCTATAAAAAATTAATAAAATAAAATATTTATTTAACATTTACCAGTCGATTCGAGAATCAGAAAAGGACCCTCTCTATTTAAAGGGGTCCTCTCAATAGAAATATTTTTTTAAATTCCTCTCAATAGTCCTTTCAATCCTCCTCTCAATTTTTAAATTAATTTTAATATGTAAATAAAAATTTTAGACAAAAAATGTATTTAACTATTAAATTACTTTTAATTTTTCTTTTGTCAATTTTATTTTTTTGTGAAGCAGAAGAATCGTCGACAGAACAAACTTGTGTAAATGATTATCTTTTGCTTTCGAAAAGTCTTAAATCAGAAATTTTTGCCGAGAAGATAGGAAATGAATGGAAAGTTGAGCGAGGAATTAACAAAAAAGTTTTTGGAAAAATTAAAAAGAACTTTATCATAAAAAAGGAAAAAATGTCAAAATTAATGGGAGAAGAAATTGCAAATAAATGTTTTGAATTAAACAAAAATTTAGTTAAACAATATAATGAAAAACTTTTAAATAAAGTTAAAAATTTTTCGTTTAAAGAAAGTATTAAAGCTAAAAAGCCAATTATTATTGAGAATAGTTTCAGTTTAAAAGATTATTTAAATAAATTCAATAACGAATATTTTATTTTATCTGAAAATATTCAAGAGAAACTAGGTAAATAAGAATGTTAAAAACCTAATAACGTAAAAGTTTTAATAGAAGCCCTGGGCTTTTATCTTTCAAGACCCCTTATTGAGTGGGCTTCTATTAGGATATGGGCTTCTATTAGTAATGTGCTTCTATTAGTAATGGGCTTCTATTAGAGCTTTTACGCTAATTTAAAAAATAAAGACAAGTATCAAGGAGTAGAATTATCAAAGATTTCACTATATTTTTTAACCACTCAAAACTTTCTGTAAACTATCTGGAACCTAAAAATTTAGGATATCTGGGTTCAATAACTATATCCAGTTATTAAATAGAATCATATTCTATTTAGTTGATTATACCTCGGTCTCGGAGCTGAGAACTTGGCTACACGCAAAGTAGCTGGATTGAAAACAAAAGTCCTTTTTTAGATTTTCTTATGTTTTCGAATTCCAAGGCTCCATTACAAGAACATTTTCTAATAATATCTAAATATTATTTTCAGACAAAATGTCATTTTGCATAGTTGATAAAATATATGAATTTTATAAGAAACTAAATCAAGGAAAAAATTTACTCACAATTTTCTTTCCATCAGAAAATATAAAAAATATGAACGATGCTATTTTAGATAAATATAAATTAACTTCCGAAAATGAATTGTATATAGCAAAATTGGAGTTCAACCCAATGTTTGTTGGTAAAATTTCTGTAAAAAAGGGTTGGAAGTTAGAAGAATGTGGAAAATTTATCAAACAAAAGAAGTATTAATTTGAATAAAAAAACAATTTTTTAAATTTAAATTAATGATTATTAGGACTGAGCAAATATGCAAATACATGTTTGATGTATTGATATACCTTGAAGAGAGTAGCTCAAAATAAGCGAGGGGTTTTACTTAGGATATTACAAATTTCAAATAATTTCCTCACTAGGGACCAGACATGGGCGAAACGTTTCGTTTCGTTGTTTCGTTAGTTTAGTTATGTTTTTTACTGTTTCGTCTCGTTTCGTGACGAAACACTTTTTAATTTGTTTCGTTTCGTTTTGCTAACGAAACACCTGTGTTTAGTTAACGAAACTTTACCTATTTTTTAAGCCAAAATATTACTCGAAAACTGAAAAATTTTCCACTTTGTTGATGGAAATTCAAAAAATTTTTGCCTGCGGCGCCGAAATCTGAATTGTAAGCGCCTACGGCGCATAATTTACTATAGTTTTTTTGAATTTTCCGTTAGATTTTATGTTTTTAATAGGTAATGTTTGAGTTCTTTGCTAGATTATGCATATAGAATGGGTCTATCTCTTAATGGGTCGGTCTATCTCTAATCAAATCATCTCTTAATGCCAACCATGGGCGGGCGCAAAATACAATATTATAAAACGAAAAACGCAACTTATGCCAATGATCATGAATGTCGTTGATCAACATAAATCTGAATACTACGTATTTGACTAGTACTTTCGTACTTTATATCAATAGAAAAATTCTTAAAATTGTTCTTTTGACCACTAAAAAGTTAATTTTTTTCGCCTACGTCTTTCTGAAATTTTCAAAATTTTTGCCTGCGGTGCTGAAAAAGTCTGAAATAGGAAGATTTACGGCGTCAAAGCCTTCTAAGATTCATTTTGCGGAATTAATGGTGATAATGGAATTAAGTGAGATTAAGGGAAACATACTCATTGGGCCCACAACAAATGGCTATGGGACCATAATTTGTGGTCCCACATAATTATATAATAATATATAGGTCATTATTGGCCAATTAACATGCTTAAAATTTTGTACTTAATAAAATAATCCAGTTTTTTGAAATTTTTTTCGAAATTAAAATGTTTCGTTTTGTTTCGTTTCGTTTTGTTAAATTTTGACTGTTTCGTTTCGTTTTGTTAACGAAACGATTTTTAAAAATTTTTGTTTCGTTTCGTTTCGCCGAAAAAAAAATTGGAGTTTCGCCCATGTCTGCTAGGGACCTTCGCTTACTTAGTGCGAATTTTATATACTTTCTGGAACCCTTAAATAGAGTAGCTCAAAATAAGGGAGGGGTTTCGATAAACCATATTTCTATTTTTTAAATAAAAAGTGAATTTTCACCTCTTTTTCTTCCTCGCGCCTCGTGAATTCTCGCCTCAATTGTAAGACAATGTTAATAAAGTAGAGAGAATGAAACAGGAGGTAGCTCGCTTTTTCATTTACACTTTATAACAACTCCTCAATAATTAAAAAAAATTTTTACGAGTCATATTAAATAAAAAATATTAATACTACATGCATAGAATATAAATTATTTTTATAGATATTCTAAGGAATTTTTCTCGATGATTTCTCCAAGCCAGTTATTCTTTGAGAAATTTCCAAAAGGTAAAGTTATTTAGAAATAATTCAATTAATTAAAAACTGCACTACATAAGTGTGCGAAGTTTATCAAACGGATAATTATGTAAATATTAAATTTTATGTTAGCTAGTATGGTTAATTTCCCTAGTAGGGCACAGTTAAAAAATTAAGATTAATTGTTCTAGCATTATTTTGATCAGTATAATTTAGTATATTTTTTATTATTTTGCATTTTTAACTCTTATTTTGTTTATTTTTGCGACTATTTTGGACTTTAAATAAATATGTTAGGTGAATATTTTGCAGTCTTTAGTTCAAAAAAACTTAAGTTTTTAATATTTTACTTAAAAATAATGGCATTGCAACAAAATTTCAGCTTTCTTCTTCTTATCTTGATTTAAAAAATAATTTTTGTTTTTAGATTCAAGTTTTACGGGTTTTGAAGTTAATGAAGAAAATGAAAACGAAATTAAAAATATGTATTGTAATATTTGTAAGGAAAAGTTGGTTATATTCAAAAATGGGAAATACAAAGAAATTACAAAGACAGATTGCAATGTTGGTCTAATTTATAAAAAATTATTTAAAATTTTAAATATATTTTAGCATAATTTTCACAAAGAATGTCTTCAAAATTGGTAATTATTTCTCTTACAGTAGCGCGGTACGAGCATTAGTGACCGTGTTTCTATAGCATATCTTTGCATATTTCGGTACTTTCGTGCTTATTTACATATCTGTGCATATTTTGGGAAATTTTGCATATTTTTAACTAAATTTTTGATGCATATTTAATGCATATTTTTTGCAAATTTGGCATATTTTGGTGCATATTTTTCGTGCATATTTTGCCACTCCCTACTCATTAAATACTGTATCAGATGGAGTATTTAATTAAAAGGAATTTTTCCTAAAATTAATTTTCAACTGTGATGTTTTCATTTTACATACTCTTGTCCATATCTTTTTGACCAACACTACTTTATTAAAATTTATTAAAATTATTGCCGTATTATTATTTAAATTAGATAATTTATGTAAATTAATTTTCAAAAAAATTTATTTTAAAACAAATTACAGGTTGAGAGAAAATCATCTAAAAATTGAAGTATATCCAATTCATGTGGTGGGAGTTTAATTAAAATTTTTGTTTAAATTAATAAAATAATATGTAAATTGATAAATGTTAAAAATGTTTTTAGAAATTATAAATATTTTTGTAGATCACAGGAAGTTGCCAAATTTGTCGGAAAAAGGTTTTATATGATCTACGAAATCAAAAAATAATTCCAAACTGCGGTAATTTATTATTATTATTATTAGAGGGTAAGACAAAACACTTACCATATTTCTTTCACAAGAGAAAATGCGTGTTTGCAATTCTAAAATAGACCTGTTTTTTGACTTATACATAATTAGTTTGGTCTGTATAATTTAATTATTTTGGCTTTCGTTGGACACCTACTAGTTAGACGCCCGTTTTCTGTTTTAACTGTTTTAAAAATACTTCCTTTTATAATTATATTAATATACATATTAGTGATATTCGGATATCACGTCTCCCGAATCGGAAAATTTTTCTGAGTTATTACCCTCCTTATCCGGATTGCATGGGTTTTTTCTTCTCCCGAACATAACTAATATGTACATATTTGCTGGTGTGCAGCAAAATTACAAGTTTATTTCATTTTTTCAAATACATTACGGTAGTCCATAAGTTCGTGCGTTTTTAGGCAAACATTTTAAACAGTCATAATTCGAAAAATTAAAAAAAAAATTTTCAAAAATCTTCTCTTGATTTAAAAATTTTTTTTAGTTTCAATTGTAACGGATATTGAAATTAATGATGAATTTAAAGAAAAGAATAAAGATGAAGAGTGTTTTTGTTTGGAAAAGTTGATTGAACAAGATAAACAAGGAAAATATAAAGAAATTCAACAAATACCAAAATGCGAAGTTTGTATATAAAAATTATTTAGAATTTTAAATATATATATTTAGCATAACTTTCATAAAGAATGTCTTCAAGAATGGTAATTAATTAATTTTTATTACAATAAAATATTAAAAAATATTTTTCAATTATTTCTATATTTTCAATTAATTTAAATAATTTTATATAAATTTTGAAATTATGCTCTTCTTAGGCCATAATAATAACACAAAATATCAATTAAAAATTGAAATAACACTAATTTTACTTTTAAAATAAATTACAGGTTGAAAACAAAAGATGTTGAAGATGATGGTGGAAAACATTTAGTGGGAATTTTAATTTAAATTAATAAACTATTAAGAAATATTTATTATTACATAAATAAATTATGTTTTTGAAGATAAAAGATGGGTGCCCAATGTGTCGAGCAGAAGTTTTATGTAAAAACGAGAAAAAGGAAATAATTCCAATCAACTGTAATTTATATTAAAAAATTTTAAAAAATAATCTATTTAATTTAATTTTAGAAACAAGAGAAGCTGAACATTTCAATTTTGATGTGAAGTTACGATTGTGCATGACAGATTTTATATTCGAAAGTTTTGGGGTTTTTTTTGCCAAAAATTAAACATTTTATGAAAATTCAAAAACTAACCGATGAGACATTTTTAAAAATATCCCCTTTGTACATATTTATGTTTATTTTAACCTCTTCCCTTGTAAAAAGAATCCCGAACCTTTCTCATTATTTTAGAACAATTCCCGTCCCTTATTATTGTGTTTTTTATTTACTTTTTAAATTGATATGTTACAGTTCCCTATAAATATTCATCCCCAAATGATCATTTATATATCAATATCATTTATCAATATCATTTAGTGTAGTTTTGGTTCCTTCACTATATCTGAAGTCAAACTTTAATTTTATAATTACCCGAACTTTCAAATTCCAAACAAATCTTTAACCCTCGATACATGTCAGATATTATAATTTGTATCAAACTACCCTCATTTCAGATTTTTAATCTTAATTAAAAAATAAATATATTATCATGGTTGCAGTTGACCCAAAATTGAAAGGGATTGGACAACAACGAGGATTACAAATTTGGAGAATTAATGTTAAATTATTATTATTTTAATTAATACAAAACACTTTTTTAACAGAAATTTGCTTTAGAAGACATGCCAAAAGAGCAATATGGCAATTTTTATAGTGGAGATTCCTATATTATTTTAAATGTATTTTTGTTTAATTTTTAAATTAAAATAATTTTAAAATAAAGACTAAAAATGTTGGGGAATGGGACGTTCATTTCTGGTTAGGAAGAAATACTTCTCAAGATGAGATGGGTACTGCAGCAATTAAAACTGTTGAATTGGACGATTCATTAAATGGATTGCCTGTTCAATATAGGGAGGTAACAAAATAAAAATATATCCCTCCGATTAATAATTCAAAAGTATTAAAACTTTAAATTTTCTAAAACAGTTGCAAGATCATGAAAGTGCCTTATTTCTCAGTTACTTCAAGGATGGAATTAAGTAAAATATTTTTTAATTATATTCAAATTATTTGTTTTTAAGAATAAGAATCCTTTGAGAATAAAAATTAATCCCCCCCTGATCGGATTAATCCCTCCCCCTCCCATCCTGAATAATGATGAAAACGGCAAGGTTTCATGAATCTAAAAATATAGCGTTCTCTATTGGCTCCACTTGGGTTCAACTATTATCAAATATAAGAATATTTTTTTAAAAATTCATTGAAGGCAATATGTATAAAGTGAAAAATTTTTTTAATCAAAATATTTAAAATTTTTAAAATTAATTAGATATTTGGAAGGAGGTGTTTCTACAGGATTTAAACATGTTGTAGATGCTTATGATAAGTGGACACCAAAATTATTTCAATGTAAAGGAAAGAGAAATGTTAGATGTACTCAAGTAAAATGTGTTAAAGAGTCACTTAACCGTGGTGATGTATTTATTCTTGATTTGGGGCTAGATATTTATGTTTGGATGCCTCCACAGAGTGGACGATTGGAGCGTTTAAAAGGAATGCACGTAAAAAAATAAATTTATTTAATAAAAAAGTAGTTCCTCTAATTGACTGCCCTCTAATAAGATGCCCGGGGCTTCAATTAGAGGAAATACTGGAATTATTAATTTTATTATTCGAAAAAATTACTAAAAATATTCTTAAAATTTTTAGCAAGCAAAAAGCATAAAAGATAAAGAACGTGCTGGTCGACCTAAAATTCATATATTGGGTAAATAATTAAAATTTGTCTACTAAATTACATATGCGCAAACAATTACAAGATATTTACCAAAAAAGCTAAAAATTTGCACAAATATATTGTAATACAATATTGTAATATACCTATGTATAAGATGTGAATTAAGAACGGGATGTAAAAGGATTTTAAAATAAAAAAATCACTGTTTTTAGTCTCTCATTTCATTGTAAGGATGATTCACCTAGAGCAATTAAAACGCCTAGTCGGGGGTTTAATGATCTAAAAGGATAAATGAGAAAGCATTAGTCGTCGCCCCGGCTCAGTAGTAGAGCTCCTGTATGTGGGGAGCGAAAGCTCCTAGCAATAATTACAAGGAGTTCGCAGGTTCGAATCCTGCCCAGTGGCAAAACTTTTGCTAAACTCTTTCTTCATGAATATCTCTAATTGGTTAGCATATTTTTGAAGCATACTATTATTTTGATTATAATTTTATAATTAAAAATTTTAACAAAAAATTAATTAATAATTAGATCAAGATTGGAATATAAATGACAGATTTTGGAGTCATTTTGGAGGTGTTAAAAACATAGAATGGATAAAAGCTCCAAAAGCTGGAGGGGATGATGATGATTATTGGCGTGAAAATAGGCAGAATATTAGTTTGTGGAAGTTTGTAAAGAGGGAGAAAGAAAATTTAATTTGAATAATTTTTATAGAGTATCCGATTCTTCTGGAAAATTGGAAATAACTCAGAAAAAACAAGGAGGGTTGTGTTTTACAGATTTGGAATCTAAAGTAATTAATTAATATGATTAAATAAATTATTAATATCTAATAAAAGGATGCTTTTATTGTTGATGCTGTTGGTGGGGGCCTTTTTGTTTGGATAGGAAAGGAATGTACAATGAATGAACGTAAAAAAGCTATGGAATGGGGACAAGAATATTTACGAAAACAGGTAAAATTAAATTTAAACGACTAATACAAGAAGCTTTGGAAGCGTAGATGATACTTAAGTTACTCAGAAAATACTGGCCTCAAAGATTCGGCCCTAAAATATATTAAAAAACCCCACCATTATATATTTTCTCGAATAAATTTATTTAAATAGACCAGGATTAGGATATCTAATTTTCCATTTGATAGAAAGTTATCTCCTTGAATCAGTTTGTATGGTAAAACTGAAACAAGTTAAACATAACATATGTATTAATATTAAGCTTTTAAATTTTACACCAAAAAAATCAAGAATTATATGCTTCGATTTTT